CGAAGAGTGCAAGATAATAAAACTCTAAATTCATGCTAGACCGGGGAAAAACTTGCGAAAAGTAGAACTATTCAATTCATCAAGGTGAGCTCGCTAAGTTATTTCACACTGTCCTCGTCTTTCCCTCCGTTGACTACATCGGGAAACGACGACCCCCTGGAAGGGACCGGACATGTGCCTCATTCCCCCCTTTCCGGACCGTATCGCACTGCCTCAGGGAAATTCAATTTCCCCGCCGTTCAATATTGCCTCAACGAAATTATTAAGAGCCTGACATTGATGTAGAACGCGTGCACACATGCGAAGGATATATCAGAATCCTTTTCAATAATGTACTGTCACGAAGATCAAGTCGAAGGTGGAATAAAAAAAAAAAAAAAAGAGACGACGGATAATGCACTTCGAGCATTTCTTCGAGTATTTTACGCATGAAAGAAGGAAGAAAAAGAATCAGAAGGAGGGACCTTGACTTGAAATGCATTGAACAGCTTCTTGCGCATATTTCTGAACGACTGGCATAAAAAATAAATCCGACGACGTGGATTACATTGAAATAAATCCAATAATACCTGAAGTTTCCGTTCAATTTACTTACAAAGCAGAAACAATAAGCGTTCATGGCTATCAATTTTGAAAACCCAATAATACCCGTCACATTCCAAGTAACGCTCCCAAATTTGATATTTTCCTTTGACAGCTAAATTGAAAGTTTTATAAGATCTGATCATCAGACTCAGAATGATATTCGCAGTCGAGTAAATAGCAACCCAACGAAATTCATTATACATAACTTTATTATATAAGATATCATGCCAAATCGAATATGAGATGCTCTGAGTTAATAATTTATTCAAGAAATGCATTGGACATTTTATAAGGCATCAAACCAAACGTTCAATGACGGTTCAGATCAACAGGTTAGGTGCATGCTTGCTTATGATCAAGACAATACCATACCTTGACTGAAATAAAATTAGGATTCAATTAAATATATTTCAACTACTATTCTCAGTTTTAGAAAACAGTGAAAATTCTGACTTTTTCGGAAGCGTTTGACAAAGCACCCAAGCAGGAAAAAGTCAAGACTCCTCGGATTCAGAAATAAAAAGCGCGCATTAATTATGTATCTTCGAGGCCGCAAAAAAATGTGCGCCATTTATTCCAGTAAATGGTGAAGCATGCGTATTTACGCACTCACCTTTCGCTCACACATCAAGCCAGCTGCATAAAGAAAATGTTCCGCAACTGGTAATCAATATAAAACGTCACTTGAACAGCACCAAAAACAGGTAAAAACGCGACACCGTTTTTGTCCCGCCCCTTTTTCTGTCTATAGGTCCGACGGAAATCTGAGGTTCAGCTGCCAGAAGGCTCAGGAGGACACCGCGAAAAGAAGCCCACGGAGCAGTTTTTCCTCGACTCTGGAGCGACGGTATACGAGTTGCGCGCGCACCTCGTACCTGCAGGCATCCCAGCCAACGGTTGGCGCGACGTGAAATCGTGTTACATTTCCTTCCGCGTATCGACGCCTGATTTCTTCCCAGAGAAAAAGTAAAATTGACACGTCAAACATTTCAAGGAAGGCGCACGTTTTGTTAATTTTTTTATTACTTTATTTTTTTTATTTTTTTTTTCAACACGAACCCTCGTGTTTCGGCGACATTAGATTCGCCGGAACGCATACACAGTCATTTCATTCAGTCAGCTAATTTTGTAGAATACACGCCTCCTTTGCGTGAAGACCGCACACTGGATTCGGAGGAGAATTTTACTATAATCGTTTTGTATATACAGTTGAACTTTGGAAACTCGAACCTCCCGAAGCGGAATACCGCCTTATGCCGAATTTCTTTCAAGTCCCCGTCGTAATTTTCCTAGAATCATAAAAACCTCCCTTACTCAAGGGCTTCCCTTCAAACCGACAAAATTTCAGTTTTGGAGGGTTTTTGACTATTGTTTTATTGACACACAATAAAAATGTAACTATGTGTTTTGAAATGAAGTGAAAGACTAATCGGGCAAATGAACCTATGCTTCCAAGTTCAGCATCCTTTCAACTCAAAGAAAAATCAACTTGACGCCCAGAATATAATTACAGAATTCCTGTAATTCTTCTTTCTTTTCCTCCAAAAAATGCTTCTTCCTCCAACTCGAATTTCTCTACTCGTCCCTTAATGTTCAATTGTAGTATTATACCAGGCATTTAGTTGAAATAAATTGAATAAAGGCTACACCTCAATTTATGGTGTTCGGAGATATTTTACAGGGTGAGCAAAAAAAACTCAGGACCAATTTTTATCATAAAAATACTATAACTACTGAGACGCTGCAGTTTGGCTCGAGTCTTCAGCAATATTGCAACAATCAAGAAAAATAATTCAAGAGCCGAATCTAAACTTTACACACATGTTCGTGAAGGCTTCACATTGTATCACAGAAGGTGCGTGGAAAGTTAGGCTGAAATTATTAAAAAGTTACCGGAAACGAGGGACACAGTGATTTTAGATAGGTTTAGAAATCGACAATGAATCCATAAATTATCCATCAAATAGTAATTTTGTCGCATCAACGACAAACGTGAAAAGAACTCCCACACGAAAAAATCCCTCAATTTCATAATCGTGCGACACTTTTTGCAAGGAAAAACTAAATTCACACAACAGAACAATAGCTGAAAAATGGAAACAACTAGGCGGAATTAACTTCTTGTTCAACTCTATGGCACTACTGTACTGCAAATTACTTTTGCTACAGGATACGTATTGCCTTACTTGGGCAGGAATAATATTCAGGAAGACTAAAAGCAAAAATAGACTCGATAGTGAAGTTCAAGCTTCCGTAATTTAATTTGACGTCACCGCTCAAGAATAAACTTCATCGATGAAATCCGGCGAAGCTCCAACATCTTCCTGATGGAGCTTCTATTATTAAAGTGCTTCTAATTAATGCACAGAAGCTGTTTACCTCCATCGGATTTCCACATCAGCTTCACAACCAAAGCCCACTCATGGGGACTTCGCATTCCATCCAGATAAGAGTGCTCGTATCATGCTAACCGTTGAACAAATACAACACAGTTGAATCTGGCTAACTTGAACCCTCCTTAGTCAAATAACTCTCTACGTCAGTTACTTTCAAGTCCCTGTCAGCATTCCCTTAGAATCAATGCATTAAAAACCTCCTCAAGTTTCCTCTCAAGCCTCCATAATTCGAAATTGCTGAGGCCTTTTGGCTATTGTTTTATTGACACAGGAAAGAGAAAAGCAATAAAAAGGGAATTTAGTGTTTTTTGAGAGGAAGTGAAGGACTAAATTGGGCAAATGAATCCATGCCTCTAAGTTCAGCATCCTTTAAACTCATTCAAGAAGCAATTTTTGGCCCAGAATATCACTTTTTACAATTTTGTGCAATTCTCCCATGTTTTCTACAACGAAAAAGCTTGGTTCCACAACTCAAACCTCAAAAACTAAAACCCTCTCGAAGTCAAAACCTCATCAAATCGATTTTTATTTCTGGTCCCTTGAAATTCGACTTGGAGGGGCTCAACTTTATATAGCATTCAATCTCGGGTCGATACATCCAGAAGTTTCATTAAGGTGACTTCTTCGTAACTTGGAAGTGTACAAATCCAGAATAACAATACCTGTATATCACGCATCAACCGATACTCATCAGTGCACCCAAAAAATGGACAGATATTCTCTCAGCGGTCATCGGAACACAAAAAGTTTTGCGTCCTGGAAAACGAATGGTTCGGAAGAACGAGCCTATGCACCGAAACGAAGCCTCGACTGGTATTGATCATGCGGAGGCTCGCAGGACTTCAGCGGAAACCACCAGGGTGCAAAAGGCGTAATGAGGGAATGCCCAGAAAGACTGCACGAACGAGTCAACGGAACAAATCCGCACTTCCGTCAACAACAGACTCGCTCTACAAGGCGTTACTCTTAAATAGCACCCCATCAAGCAACTTCCGTTTGCGCGAAAAGGCGATTTCAAAAGAAAGCATGCTAATTCTCGTTCTTCATATTCCCTCGAAACTCTGCGCTATATAAAACTCGCGGGAAAATGATGACGAATTGAAAATTTCCATAATTTGTCACACCCGACACCCCTACTCATTTTTTTTTGCACAGGGAGGGGGGGATTTGCCCTGTCTATCCTCACCTAAATACGTTGTAACTTGGCCAAATCCCTATCTACCATTATCCCTGAGAATGAAGCTTCTGTGGAAATATCAGAGGTACAAGAACCTATACTTTTAAAAAGACTGCTACATTTCGACCAACTCAACCTAATTCAGTCGAACCTCTTCAAGTCGAACTTTGAGAGACCAGCAGGAAGTTTGGAGTTACAGAGGTTTTGAGTGAGGGAAACAGCTATTTTTTGCTGGGAATATACGGTACATCAAAAATTACACGAAACAAAAGTGCGAGATTTTCTGCCTTGCATGGCAGAATGAATGAGCTGACAGGATGCTAAGCTTCAAGGCAACGATTAATTTTCCCATTAGTACTTCACTCTCTTTCAAAACTCAGCAGGTTACGTTTACAGTATATTGCTTTTCCCTATCCTGTGTCAATAAAATTATAGCCAAAAGGCTTCCAGAAAATTCGTGTTATGGATGTTTGAAGTGGAAAACCTTTCAGTAGGGAGGTTTTTCAATTCATTGCTTCCAAGGGAATTCAGACAGAGACTTGTATTCAAATTGGAGCGGTTGAGTTGTCGAGGTTCAACTGTCTCACGAATTAAATGGTTAATAAAAAAAATCGGATGAATGAAACATAACCAGAAACGCTATGATTAGATAAAGCCTCGAACCTTCGTGTGGTTCAACATATAGGGACAATGTTCCAAAAGCAACTGTGGTTGCAACTTCAACGAGGATTTCCGAAGAGAAAAATGTTCATCTACTGATCCCCGTGATAACTGAAAATTGTATACAGTACTACGTATTCCCTACATCGGTGAACCTCATCAACACATCAGGATCTGCTCACCTTGGGAGTTCTGATGACATCCAACTTTGTCGTCATGATGGGCAAACACTAACACAGACGCCGTCGCAAACAACGTCTCACGACCGACGCATGGAAATCACACACTTTCTCTGCAATCTAGCACAAAGGGTTTGATGAAAACAGAACAAAAGTTGTAAATGGCCACTCAAACACAAAAATTAAGAAAAGAAATGAGCCGGAGTTCCGTTTCAATCGTCCATTCCCGAAAAAAAGCTCGCGGCGTGTTGCAAACGCGACGATGGCAAATTTCTCGTGGCACTCCCGGCATTATCGTATTTCTTTTCTGTCACCGGAATATTTTCCAAATAAGCAATGTTCCAAAATCGAACAACTTCGAAGTCAGTAGATGCTAGAAATTTTCCATCCGGCGACACATCAATTCGATCCACTGTTTCTTCGTGCTGTCCAACCACACCAAGAACTCGGTGGGGAAAAAGGTGTACGGCTCTGCGAACAGCGAAAACGCACTCAATATTGAAGCTGACAATTTGTACACTTAATCACTGATAATTTCACCATCACGGTATCTACCCACCTCAGTATGCCGTCTTCGTCGCCCACAACCACGATTTTGTCAGCTACCGTGACCATAGAAGAAAGACCCGACTTGCTTCTAGTTGAACATGTATCCGAGTGCAGCCCGAATCGGTCCCAATCGAACAAGTACAAGAGCTCAGAATTTGTACCAACGACCAACTTCGTATTATCCCTGATCAGGGCCAATGACGTGAGTTCTTCCTGACGCTGTTCTGACTCCACTTCAAAACGTTTCGCGCGAACATTGAACGAACTGATCGTTCCATCCCCTGACGCAGAGATGAGCATCTTTTTGTCCGGATGAACCAGCAAAGCTGTGATGTGATCCCCGTGCCCTTTGTGTTCCATCACACACTTCTCTGCCCGAAAGTCGAACACTGGAACGAAACAATCGAAACTCGTTAGATGCACAAAGTCGGGCAGGCACGCGAACAGAATTATATGAGATCACATACATCAGCGTACTAACAACTTAAATCTCAAATATTTGGTTGACACAGTCGAACGAAGCTTCACATTAAAGATGACGAAATTTAGTAGAAAGCAACTAAAATTGTAATACATTAAACTTCTACGAATTCTAGTTTTTTTTCTGATCGCAATTGACTATCGGTCAGTGAAAACATGGAGTCAACGGCAAATCAAAATGATTTTCCAAATGAAAAAATCGCTTTTCATACTGATGGCGATGAAGAGGAAAATATTGACCAAGCGGATGCAGTCTGAATAGGTTTTCCGTCATCGCCATCCTGCCAAGAAATACACGAGAAACATTTTTATGCATTTTCTACACGCACTGGAGATACAAGAGGTTTCTCCGACTGTTCCCCAGTTATTTTCGGCCACGCATACCACATGCAACCATCAAACTATTCCCTCGAAACCTAGCAAAAAAAACCACGCTGCGACTTTTACTCAGGCGGAGTTGGCTTCAAATGCTCGGAATAATCCCAATTCACTCGAAACAGCATTATTGAATAAAATTGCGAAAAAAGTCATAACAGAATGAAATTATCTTAGGTTTAAAATTTCTGAAAGCCGCTGACTCGATCCGTTCAGGGAACAATTCAGAAGAGAGCCATTTTTTAATTGATCCACTGCGGAAGTATATATGAAATTCAATAGATGTCTATTGAACAAAGAAAGAAATACACACATACATTTGAAAACTCCTTCTGCATCGCCAGTAGCACAAAGATATTCGTCGATTCCAGCCAACGCATGAGCTCCGTCTCTGATGACGCAAAAACAGAACGGTAACCCCTTCCAACAAGAATCAAATCGTACTAAAAAGAAACCCACTCGTGAATACCAGAAATCAAGTTCTTCACATCCCCCGTTTCCACGTCAACGACCGCAAGTTCTCCATCTTTCGAAACAGATATGAATTCAGTTCCTGAATCGAAAAATACTACTCGTCTAGTCGATTTCTCATGAATTTCATAAGTTTTCTTCAGCTCTACGGCATCTTCACTGAACGCGTACCTAGAAGAAAAAAATGAAGAATAACCAAAAACAAACTAATTTAGGGATATGGTAATTTACAAAACAACGTCTCCTTCCAAAGTAGCGACAGCAACGTCCGAGGAACCAGGGCGAAACTGAACGTCGGACGGGATGCCTTTGATTTTCAGAGCTGGAGGAGCTTTCGGCTTTTCCTTGTACGCCGCAGCTAATGTGCACGCTTTTTCTTCTTGAGGAGGTTCTTCATCACTATCACTGTCACTATCGTCAGAACTTGCCTCCTGGGCATTGCCTGGAAGCCCGGAAGTCGAAGGCTCTTCATTCATTTCATCGTTCGAATCGGATTCCTCCGACGTTTCAACCTGACCTTGATCTGAGTCGCGAGATACCGATAAATCTCTCTCGCCGTCGTTAGGATCACAGTATTTCATATTTTTCCTTCGAACATCAATCCAGAAATCGAGGAATCTGATAGACCATACAAGTCAGAGGAAAATTCCGGAGATAGCACCAACGCAAGTTCATTCATTCCAGTATCATTGCACAACCAAAGCTCCTTGAAGGTACAGGAGTGAACACGGGTAACCATTTAATTATTGGAAATTCAGAATTAACGTCCACTGGCTTCAAATATTCAAATTGGACTCTTCATCTCCTGTTTCAAGCAGGCTTTGAACGCATCCCATCCTTCGTTCCGTGAAGAGTGCTGCAAAAAATTGAATGAAGCGGAGCAGATTTTGTAAAATGAAAAATACACTAATTCATGAAAATCTTGAAAATCATTCTAACCACGTACATGACCATCGAGAACTAAACAAAAAATTTGAAGGAAAAAACACTTCAAAATGTGGTAACCTTAAATCCTCGATGAATACGGTCTTTCATGATAGCGATGAATTCCTTGTAGGAAAGCTGCCCATCTCCATCTTCGTCAAACATCAAGAAGACAGTGTTGACAACATGCTTGCTTAGCGTTTGCCCTGTGCAAATTTTCACTGCTCGATGGAATTCATCTGAAAGGAAATAAAGAAAAGGCGGTATAAAAGAAAAAAAAAGCTCAAGCTACTGTATAGTAATTCGTAAATGAGGAGAGGGGTATTAATTACCTTGAGAAATAGGACGATCAGCCAGGGTGTACATCCTCATAGCAATGCCAAAATCTTCCAGATTATTTAAAAATTGGCAAAATGCTTTGAATTCCTCAAAATCAATTCCCACTTCTTCCGTAAGGCGATCCAAGAGACGTTCCAAGATGACTGAGTATTGTTCCACCCTCAAATACGTATAACGCAATAAAATCTTGGCGAAGTCAACTTCGTTAATTTTGTGCAGCCCGCGCGCAAATTCATTGAATTCCAGTTCAAGCACTTCCGTTTGAAGATTTTCCATAAATCTCTTGAATTCTTCGAATTTCAAATCTCCTTGTCCCTTACGACCGAAAAAGTGGATCAGCAGAGTCGTATCGGCCACTTCTTCACGCTGCAGCATTTCCCCAGTGTCCCTCGTAATACGTTTCTTTCCCGTGCGCTCCTCGTACTCGAGGTCTTCTTGCACTCTTGCTAGTCGGGACTGACTGAATATTTTCTCCAGCTGAAAATTCAAAAAACGGGTAAGATTTTCCCCGGGGATTTGATCACTCACATCCCATGCACAGTGAAATTAAACTAACATAAATGGAGCACATTACGTACCACAATGCGGCGATTCGACTCATCAGGAAACTTTCATAAACAAACGCAGAGCAGCAAAGAAAAAAAAAAGAGATATGTTCACGATCTCAAACTACAACACTAGTCACGTTTTCAGGTTAGAGTACTGTATAAGCAAGCAATTAAACGCCAGTTCTTTGAACAGAGAAAGCATACACAAGGTACTTATGCATGCAATCCAGTCATTTATACTTATTATACATTCTTTCGTGAGCTTTCTCCATTTGGTCAATTGATTCTTTTTTCTGACTCTTTGCAAGCTACGATAAAAGGCAGACTAAAATTAAATTAACCAACTACGCCAAATGCCCTCAAATAGCCACTCAAACTCAGGCCAAAAAATGCGCGTACATCCGTTGCTAACAAGAAACATTATGTGCAATTTTTTGCAACTTACTAACGCACGTTCCGCATCCGTTTCTGCGTGCCGTTCAACGCTTCGGGCGAGAAGAGCATTCAACTGGAATATCATGAAGACGGATGCGCTTTACGAAGAAAAAATTCATGCATGCATCTATCCACGAACCCTATCGCTAAAGCTCCATGTGTTAGTGCACGCGAAACCTCAAGCAAATATCACCCACAACGTATTAGAATTTTAGGACACGAAAGGGAATATCACAGAAGCGCCCAGGAAAACTGCAACCGTTGTTAGCGGAGAAGCTGATAGTTCCTTTAGAAAATCAACTCACGATCTCTCTTGGAATCGGATCGTCCATCAGATTCTTAAAATAGAGCTGGATAAGAAGATAAACCATCTGGGAAAAAACAGGATACTGTAGGAGAGCAACTCTCCGTGAAAATCAACCTTTACCCAAGAGCAGTTAACAATGGAAACACGTGGCTCTCACGACTTTCCAGGAAGTTACTACAAGCACCCTCATACGAAAAATACATGAATCAAAAAATCAAAGGGGTTTCACGATTCCCTTACCACCAAGAATTCATCTTTGTCTACTCGATGATTTCCATCCGTATCAAACATGTTGAACGCAATACTGAATCCAGACTGAGGTTCTGCAATGCAAAAATAGAAACTACAGTATTCGAATTTCAACTGTTCAAGTTGTCAACTTACTCGTTAGGATGGAAAGCAAGAACAAATATTCTGTGTAGGAAAGAATTCCTTTGTCATGAATAGTTCTGAAGAGACGAGTGCCACCTTTCTTAAGGGTTGGAGTGTAATCGTAAAATCCATCCAGATCTTTCTTCGTAAGAATGCGACGCTTCACACGAGCTGAAAAAAAAATATTCAACATTCAACTCAACCATGACCTGGAAAGTTCTCACGTCTCGGTTCAGCTTCAGTGACAGATTCAAGGAAGTCCTGTGGAGTCATAAACAACTGCCCGCCATGCTCAACGGAAGCAAATTTAATGAATCTTCTCTCCCGTGAAGTGAGCTTCACGTTAGAACTGAAATCGTCTATTCGTTGCTGACTCTGAAAAGGGAGGAGGAGCATTACATAATGTTCACATTTTCAAGTCGAAGTTCTCACCCTCAGACGTCTTCTCTCCGATTCAATTCTTTCTTGCACACTTTGCTCAAGATACATGGCAGTATGAGCGTGAACTGACGCCCATCCGAACAACGGCGTCGCTTTTTGCTTGGCATAATAACAGGAGGCGGCTGCAACACCTCCAGCGACAAAAATGACCGCCCAACCGGATTTGGAGTACGTTGTGCATACGCGATCTAGGCGTAACTTCCGAAAAATCTGTCGTGAGCTGTTTAGCGACATGCCGAGACAATGAGCCCGCAAGCTCCACGCCAAGCACGCGTTGGTAAAAATCAAAAACACAAGCACTGCTACTGAAAAATTGAACACCCAGACATGTGAAACAATATCCGAAGAGCATAACGTAACAATTCCGGTACCATCAGCTGATTCTGATTTACCTTTGTCACTTGTTAGAAAACCCACGTGGAGCCTGGTGGTTTTTCCCAGTTGCCCGAAAGTTTTTCGGGGTATCAAGCACATCGCCATGGCACTTGACACTTTTGACATCTATGCGCGACACATTGAACTGGTCTTAAGTTACACACGAAGTATAATATTGTAGATGTCGCTGCTCGATGACAGAATGTCGGTTTTTCTCGAGTTCTTACCTAGTTCAACCAAAGATCTCATAGTCCACTCCAGGTAAAATGCAGTACTGTTACCGCACATGTACAGCAGTATCTTGCTTTTATTCCATCTATTTTTCATTCATATTTTTGGCATATTGTACTCTGTACTGTGTAAAAAATCGAAATTCACGTAAATAAACTATAGTTTCAGCCATGGGAGAACTAAACAAGAGGTCTGTATTTCTGTTCGTATTCATTTCCAACTCGAATGCACAGCATATAAATTTTCTGTCAGCTTATTGCGAAAAGGTTTTGTACCAGTCGGCAATGTTGAATAAGTAGCGTGACTCGGCATCATCCCCCTCTACATCAAAACGAACAAAGAGGTATAAAACATTCCAATAAAATCAGCATAGAGTATTTCAAGCATAAAAATTAAATCAGCGACTGACCACAGCTCGTGTATGGATCCCATCTCGGGCGGATGAAAAGTTTCTTCAATACTTTGTTCACCCTTCTGAAGCAACCGAGAACTTCGGAGTTCGGCTGATTCATATTTTCGGCCGCCTTCTTCACCGTTTCTGTTTCCCGACTGTGAAAACAGGAAGAAAGAGTAATAAACCTATGATTCGTTCCTTCGTCATGACGGAATTTCTCACCACAAATTAACGATGGTTACGTTCTTGTCCAAGATATCGGAAATGAGGCAACTAAGTGCAGTTTTGAGAACAGCGTGGAAACTTCTGACTCCTCGCTTTCCTTGTCCACCCAGTTTATTGTACCATTCGGATGCGGGCAAGCAGGTAGAATGCATATTACCCCAAGCACGACATGCACTGGCCCCGTATACACTTTCCAATGTAACGGGAATCAAACCGCTTTCATCCACCAAAGTCTGATCACTGAAAGTTTGGGAGGACCAGCCATTTAATGAAAGAAAGGAGCAGATATAGCCATTTACAGGGCAGATATATAGCCTCTTTTTCTCATGTTCATTTTTTTCTTTGTATCAACAGAATATACCTCTGCCGGATTTTCACTGCTATCACAATAAATTAGCTTTTTCATTTTTGGTTGCTGATAATATGGCGGGAATACTTTGGAGGTCGATTTTATGACGGAAAACTTTAGACCATAGTGTTTCCAAAACCCATGGTCTGCTGAAGTTTTTCGCGGGTATGCAGGAAATTTTCTTCAGCATCATACAGTGCATTTAACAAAAGTCTTTGAATTAAATTTTGAAAGGCAATAATGGCAGCTGAAATTATTTGATGAAATATAAAAGTTGGCTTTTAACATTCTAATAATTCAGACAAATTTCCCTTTCTGGAATAAATTATTTTAATTTTTCAGTCTGAGAAAAAGTTCTTCAAGGCCACCTGTGTAATTTTTTGAATGAATTCAACTATATAGCTGCTTCATTGGTTCCTAATTTTTGCAAGAAAACAAGATTTTTTCTACCTCAAACAAAATTTGTTTGATTCTGCAAAAATGTTCATGAAGCGCTGCCAGCCAGCACTCAGCAGAAAATGTTTGAGAAATTTGCTTGTCCAGAAAAAAAAAATTGTGGAAATTTGGTGGTCATGGGGCCCAACAAGGCTGGTTGACACTGCTTTAGAGTTTAGACAGTTATTTTTTGGATCATCACCTGAATATTAGTTACTCGTATACGACTAGTTTTATAATAGCCTATTCCGCAAATTTTCAAGTTTGTAATGCTACTCCTTTGTGTATATCCCTTGTTTAATATTCGAGGTTATTATTATCATTAATATGCGGGGGACTCTCAGAAATTCGAGTTATAGAGCTTTGAGGCTGAGAGTCTTTCAATGACAATAAAGCGGTTCTTCATTAATTACACCGTTCTTATCAGGGAATCCCAATGCAATACAACTGTTCATATTATTCAGTAAAAACAAAACAAATCGAATGCCTTTGATGCACCCATGAATAATTTCCTCACCGAGTAATGGGCCACCGTCGTCTCTTTAGGGACTTGCTGCTGCTTTTAGACTTATTGGCGAGCTGATCTATGCATAAAGACGACGACGGTTGGAGGAGCGATTTTCCCGACAATTTCCGGCGTCGGTGTGCACTGCTGTTGCTGCTGTGGCAAAATAGAGTACCAGCTCTGAAATCATTTTCCTTTTGCTTGCGGCAACTGCGACACAAAACTTCCGACTCTCCGCCTGAACACGTATTCAGCGTAGGCGCCTTCCACATTTCCGTAATGAGGCTCGTGCTTTTCTTCAGCGCCGCCACTGTATAATTGTCATGTAGCACGTATATAATCTATATTATATATACAGTATAATATACAGAACAAAGGAGTTAAAGTACCGTATCCAAGTACTGTCCTGTCAAACCTCGCTCAGCTGCTACCATCATTTGTTTCTGAGGTTCGGTCGGTTTAACAGGGTTAACGGTTTTAAGGGGATAGTAGGTGGTTTATCAAAAAGGCAAAGGATATTATGAAAATCAAGTACCGTATAATAGGAAATACAATTATTATTATTCTATAAAACCATCAATATAATCTTTGGACACATAATTTATCTATGACTGATAGTTCAATGAAATAAAGTATGTCATCTTTGTGTTTTGTGTCAGTGTTACATATATTTTTTTTTTCAATTGGAGACCTCTTACAGAAGCTATTATTTTATTGGCGGGCTATAGAAGACAAAATTAATGGTCAGGAGCATCCTCGATTTTTTCAATAGTTTTTGTGGATGGCAAATGGCGTTTTAACGAGGTTCCCAATTATATTATTATTAGATAAGTTTTTTTTATAATTGGCGGTTGCCAACAGTGGTGGCTTATGCTGGGGGCGTGTTAACGCGGTTTGACTGTACATATACAGTAGTTACAATCAAATCCATGTACTCCGCATTATTAATATCATGAAAATGATAAACCGTGTGTTTCGCTGATGCATTGCAAATCCATCGTCTTAAATCTACAATTCAATGGATATTGTACCAGCAGCTTATCCGTCGGAAAATTGTTCATGGTTGGTGAAATGCATCAATTAATTACAGTATGTGAAAACAACGGATTTGCTTTTGACGCATAAATTGTCGTCTTTCACTCAGCATCGGCTTGAGCATGATTATGCATAAAATTAAGTTACAATTCAGTCACAGCTTTTCATATTAAAAATTTAAACGATTATAATTTAAACTCAGTTTTTATCATGGCTGCCCAAAAAATGTCTCCCAAATATTCTCGCCACTACGCATAGGAAAGCTTAGAATAATACGCGAGAAAACTAGCATTAAAACGTATACAAGTATACCTGACTTAGAGTCCAAATGGAGGACTGATGTCTTCAGAGATTTTGAAGCCAAGTTTGCTGTGTGCGAATATTTAGAGATCAACTCCTTTCTGCTGACTGGACAGGAGAATGTATCTATAAGGAAAATAATCATGAAATACTTTTGGAAATTAGGTTCAGCGAGCATATCCCATTGTGATGGTGCAGAAAAGACAGCTCCTATATTCTGGCCAGGACAATTAATAGAAGAGATCAATCGGATTGAGAATGGCCGCACATTTTTCAGTCGAATTTCAAGCTTCTAATTCATTCATGCGACACAGGCTGATTCTAAGATTTTAGTGAAAATGTAATCGAAGGTTAAATAAATTGTCTCAGAATGACGCGATCAGGATATTCAACCATACAATATAGGGTGTACAGGTAAGTATTTTAGTATGATCAATATAACGACACACTTTCTGCGAGCACGATCGCGAAAATATTAGATTAAAAAAATAATCTTGGTTTACTTTTTACTCATATAATAAAAAATACTGCATTGCAAAGAACTATCTCATGCCCTGAATTTTCCAAACAACAAACTATACATCAGGTGATGAAAAAGGAGATGCTAATAGGGTTCTATATAGGTTAGACACGCTTCTAATACAGGGTCACTGTTGTCCTCGATGAGTCTATATACGTATATCACACATATCCATAGTGATGTCCATTAGGTCCGAATAACCTCTCAACTGCGGCCATGTAAAAGCACTTCTATGTGCTTTCAAATATTTGCACGACATTTTCTAATATTTATTTATGCTCATATTATTCGTATATGCAGCATAATTCCAAACATTTGTATTCCCTGTTCAAGTCCAGCAGCCGTTTACAATTGATATTCAATCATAAGTAATTGCGTTTCTCTCCGAATATTTGACTAACACCAATAAAATGTCCCCGAACTCATCGGCGGTATCATTTTTCCGGGAAATGCCATTTTTGTTATATTTTTATTTCGAGGGTTGAAAATGCTTACCAATCTAAAAATGCTTCGATGAATACGGCTAAGATTTATTTTAAATGAGGAGTGCATTTTCATGCAGGTCAAGATAATAATAAAATAGAATAAAATCATAAAATACAGCGGTGTTCGATACAAGACACTATATAAGCTATCATTCATTTTCATACCATTAAAATCCGCGCTGATGTTTTTTGCAGTACTGTATCAACAGTTACTCATTTTTTGTCATGGTTTTGAATTATCAAAACAAAGTTGAAACATTTTTTTTGCAGAGGGAAAAGGTAAAATCAGCTTTTCGTCTTGCAGATGAACATTTGTCTGGGGAGTAACAGTCAAAAGAATCAAAACTGCGGCTCACTCAGGAATTTAAAATGAGCTTTCGTGCACATAGACTGAATATTACTCCAGTATCGAAAAGAAAAAAAACATCGTTCAATTTTACGTTAAAAAATATTAATACCTGGAGAGGTTGCATCTTTTTCTTCGGTTTTCAGCAAATTTTCATAAACTTTTCTCGAGCGAAGAGTGTATGTTGACTCAACGTCAGCTGCACTCTTGCAAAATTTACAAACCATGTACTCCAAATAGTTTATTTCCATCATTGAACTGTTCGACGGGAAAAGCAGACCGATGAAGTTGCAGCCTGAAATAAAAAACGGAACATCTACAAGAAATACTCAGAAAAAATGGTTCAGATTCATATACATATGAGAAAATTTTCTAAATTCGAGTGTCGTAAATACAGAAGGGGTAGAAGTTCTCGGAATTTTCGCACAGCATAACGACGAGAAAATGAGATTAAAAAGTATGACCTTGCCGCTTTTGTTGCAGAACCTCTTCCAAGTAACAAAAGGTCGCGTAATCGCATTTCAAAACAACTCGGTTTAATCTTTTGTCTACTGCGAGGGGTGAAAGTTTCGCGTGGAAGGGGTTCAATGCAAAAGTGAACCCTTTCTGGGGTTTAAAAAGGAGTGAAACCCCGCAAATGATCATCAGTATCATCTTGTCTCTTCTAGTCCTCAGTTCTCAATCGGTTTAAAAAAAAAAAAGAATTTTGAATCTTGGGTAGGTTTGGTGGTGCGTTGTTTCGCTCGTAGCACCAAGTGCTATCCAGCTTTCAAGGTTCTTCCTTTGCAATTTATAGCGAAATGTATTTGTTGTATGTATTGTGAAGTAGTGTTTAAGGCGGTTTGCTGAATACCCATTCCGACGCTGTATTATTTCATTGGCGTCGGATGCGTTATTGAGCTCATCGCTTGAACACTGGTCCAGAGTTTATGTCTTTGAATATTGTACTGTACGAGGAAATCGACTGTTTACCAAAGGATTTCCATTCCGTTTGCCTGAAGTGAAATCACACAGGGAATTGAAATCCGCTGGTCGACAGAAGAGACGCCGGGGACTCAATCATCGAGCTTCTGAATATCTGCGAGAAGGCGTCGAAATTCGTGAATCGTATTCATTTCGTTTCCCGAGTTTTAGTTCGCTATCCTGCGGATTTTTACAACATCAATTTGATTTTGCTGGATTATCGCCGAATATTTCAGCGAGGAATACAAAATTCGCTGCAACGCTGGTAATGGACCACTGTGAAGAGGTTTGAATACTTCACAGGGTTAGTTGCTAGGTTTGCACGATTTTCGTCTACGTTTCTAACCTGTGTTTATTTTATTATCGGTTCTCGTATTTACCTGGATTCGATGTCGTGGTGTTGTGCAGAATTATACATGGAACAGCAGGTGCCAATAAAATCGGAGTTCTCTTGTTCAAGATTGGAAACCAGTCTGCGCCGATTTTAAGAGCGCCTCTTGCTGAAATTGATCCAGAAGTTTCGACTGCATCTAAATAATTATAAATTTTAATTTTCGGCATTAATTTTAATTACGGTTGAGACGCAACTTTTACTTGCGAATTTAATCACGAATCTTGACGTAAACGTAATTGCCAAGGATGTAAATTTCGCGGATTTATACGAAATTAAATCATTTACTCGCATCTTAATCCATACCGAACAAACTACTTGAATAACTTTGACTTACACGATCAATGCGGTTGAAAGATGTTGAATCTCACCTTGAAAACGATAAAGACAAACTGGCATTGCCTGATAATTGACGCTTGTTGTAGCTGTAGCTTTCTTCTCTTTAGTTGAAATATTCCCAATCCGGAAAACATATGCTCCACATTTCAGGCTGATTAATTTTTCTGATTTCGATGTAGGAAATTCTGACGTTTTCTCCCAGACCATAAAGTCTGTAATCTGGAGCAACTGGATCTCTCGAAGTCTTGACAGGACTTGGAACCTTCGAATATTCCCAGCAATTATGATTTTTTGTTGCTTATTATGAGGCGCAATTCTTAAATCTCATCAAATTCAATCCAAAACAGTATCTTAAGTTTAATCATCAAAAATATCGAAAAATAGAGGTAGAATATTTTTCTTAGCTAGAATATTTTTCTTAAAACTTGTCTGTTTTTCACCTCATGTGTCTTGAAGCCCTCTGGCTGTGGATCACTTCCCGCCATCTGAGGCTTGCTGCGTCTTGCTTGTCGCACCTGTATTTTACGCTCTCTTCCAGCACCTTCAAGCATTCCTTGTACTTTAGCATCGCCTGTGAAGTTCAAGTAGAATTTTAACTACTACAAACGCGTGAGTTGAATCAGAATATACATCTTAATACTGTAGACTCCTTTTCCAAGCTTGATGACAGAGTGCCCCTTTCGGCGGAAGGATTTCTAACAAACAATGGTACGTGCAGCTTTTCCACAGATTTAATTTCGTTGAAAGCGAAGTTATGCGACTTGACTGCTTCGGTGAAACGCGAAATATTCAACGGATTGCATCATATTCAGTATGTTACCACTGAAATATAGTGTATACAGTACATGGTGTAATGTCGTGCTCACAAGATTTCTCCGGCAAGATATCCACGAGTATTTTACTACTTGAGATTCGGTCAAAAACTGTGAAATGTTAATACCTGTATGACAGTTTTAATTTCTGCCTTATAGTTTGATACAATTTTGCTTGAAACCCCCTTCCTATATGTACTCTTGATACGAATGTTGACCAAAGAAAACGAAGCAACCACAAGCTGCTGGAAGAGTCTCAGCTTGAAATTCGAAGAATATATTTTCTCTATCTAAACTCATATATTCCCGTTTCTCTAATTTAAAAAATCAATAAATAGAAAGATAAAACCTTGTTTCCTACTGTATTACGTTCTAATGAAGCTTATAGTAAAAATTACAATTTTCTGAAGGGTTTGACGAAATTCCGATTACTGATGCTGTTACCTGTTGTTATAAGGCATATCCTTGTTCACCTGATTCAGCTAATGCCAAAATATCTTATACTAACTCACTGTTAGTAGGTAACAAATTCAGAATTATAGTCCGATGCAGAAAACATGGTGTATCCAACAAGAGGTTCTCGAAAAACAGGACAAATCTCCTCATCGTGATTGCTGTTGTAATTTATATTAAAGATTTATTTTCACTCTATCAGTCTATTATTTTCAGATTGCACAATTAACTTATAGTTGTAAGGAAGACCGAAGAAATCGTAACGATAGATAAGATGCATGAACGAGTCATAAAAATTACTTATTCATGTACTAGCACATATAATATTCGAAATATTGTGATCGATAAATATAAATAAATAGAAGTACAAATTAATGCATATGTTATATGTGGTTTCATCCTTGTAGCCATACATGCTTGCATGTCACATCAAAGGCAAATAGGAAACCTGATTTTCTTTGACAGCGACCCTCAAAGAATAAACTTCACCATTTTTCCGCAAGCAAACTGTTATAGAATATCATACTTCAGACATCTTTCCACTTTTGTCAAGGCGAGTGGCCTTCACGAAGATGCCATCAGCTATTTTGTACAGTTCCGTACACCGCATTGCTTCTTCCCCGTCGTCTTCGTTCCCGTTGGAATGAACATCACCGGAACCGGATGTTGGAGGTGCAAACAAGGACCCATGCGGCAAATCCGTCGGCACTTGAAACGCGTACATGCAAGTGTCGTTCATCAGGTCACGGTAGAGTGACGTGAGGCGGGAGTCGGATTCGTACGAGTCGTCTGCCCCGAAGTCCGGAAGGAGTTCTCGGATCAAAGCTTCCGGATTGCCACTTACCGATTTCATCTCTGTACGGAATTTATCCGGTGGAGCTCAAATTTCGATTAGATATGTGGGAAAATCTATAAGGAGGAATCTCTGAAGGTTGTTGAAATCCGTCGGTTGCACCTTCTTCATTTCGAAATACATGGCAGTATAGTCTGCATTAAACATGCGTGTTTTCTTCGGACCTGAGCTTAGGCACTTGATTTTAAATCAATAATGCTCATCGATTATTCGACGTACGTATATGCTGGACGGATCAACTAAAACGTTCATCTTGTTGTTTTTAAGCTTCTCTGTCTCTACAGCAATTCAAGAATAAATCCAAATATAAGCTCCTTCAAAATACAAATTCGTAGATTGATTCATGCAGGGGTTTATTTTTTCATATGCATAAAAAAATCTAGTCATGTAGTCATGTAGAGTTTGTCTTTTATCGAGTTGTCAGAAATACATAAATTTCACTGAATCACGATTCTTGCGTGAGAATGGTTGATGACTGATTACGAATTGAAATCACGGCGGCATTCTGTTGCTATTCCAATTAAAAAAAAACGATTATTCTTCAAATAGCATCGTAAGAAACAATATGTAAGGCAGGTGGACTACCTCTACAACGATATTCTCTTCTAAATAATTTTTTGCTGGTCCCATAGCTGGGGCATAGGGTACTCCTCCCAATTTTTGGAGGTTCTCCGCAACGAAACTCTCTCTTCAACGATTTTGTTTCTGGTTCTTTGAATTTCACTGTAAACAATATTTCAAAATTTTATAATTATTTTCCGATTCTCCTCGTATTCAACTGATCCATTGCTGATGCAGGAAAATGATAAAAAAAAGTGTCACAAAATGGAGTACAATTTGTGCAGTAAAATAATCGCCACCGCCATCACGCTTATTTTTCTTTATCTGGTTGAATATTTGCTGATGATACAATTGGATTCTCTCTACAATGAAATTAAAATGACGAGTAACAAACTCATTGCAAAGATAATTTGGTGAAAGAGAACCCCCTGTAACATGGCGGGGGAGTTCGTGACAAAAACTGATATACAGTACGAAGAAAATTGTCGGGACAAGATCACTGTATAGAGACAGTCCACCTGTAATCCACACATGATTTTTTCTGAAGCCCTTCAATAGAAGCAGTCAATTTTTAGAGTAGAAATTTGTTCTATCCGAAAATAAATTGATAAGGTAACTTTGCAAAAGCAAAGATATAACGAGAGGATTCAGAAAGCTATTGAAAAACATTCATTTTGGTTTTTATTTTCCATTCCGAGAGACCACACAACAACAAACATGCACCGATCAATCGAGACGCTCCCCGGATGAAGCGAACACTTCCGTTTCGTCATAAAACGAAACAAGTACTGAATGTTCCTTTCTTGGCTCAACTTAGAACAAATCAAACCACATCCCGACTTCCGCATAAAAATTTTCCCTCATTATACCATCATCTGAACGTCTTTCTTCCAGGTGACATATAAAGAAAAAGTACCGTATATCTGTATATAGAGAAGGACGTTATATCAGCCTCGTTTCCTTTCGCTTCGTCTCCTCCCCAGCATCAGACACACACACCCACGAAGCGTGGCCAGAAATAAAACATAATTACCCGCAGGAGCCTAACCGCTTTTCGATGAGAACGCATCTGTGATGTAAATCAAAAAGAAAAGCGGAATTTTGGCGAAGGAAATGCTAATTGAATTCCGCGTCCATGGTCGACGGAAAATGAAGCCGAGTAGATTGATTAACTTCGTGTGACGCGTTAGCCTGAACTGTACGAAATTGGTTGACTGGTTTTGACGGGCGCCGGGATGACGAGAAAATGTCGGGAGAGACGTGAATTTCCAAAGAGCTTTTATCAGTGCATAAGGGGGTAAAATGATGAAATTATTTGCAGTTGTTGAGCAAATCAAAAATAACTGGATATCGAAATAATTATGTGTTTCATTTTTCAGTTTTTATCTACTTTTTCCCGCGTTTTTTTTTTTAATGCCTGATTCTCAAACCTTCCTCGTTTTTTTTTTATTACCTGAACCTCAAACCTTTCTTTATAATCGAATCCCCCTTTTTTTAAATCATTTTCTGAACGCCCTAGGAAACAATCCATTGAAAAACTCCCCAACTCAAAGGCTTCTCCTCCTTGTCAAACATCCATAACTCGAATTTTCTGGAGATTTTTCCAGAATTGCTATATTTTATTGACAAAGGAGAGAAAAAAGCAATAAAAATGCTCCTTGGAATTTAAGGAATAATTGTACTTGTTCATGGACCCTTGCCTCCCAGTTCAGCATCCTGACACCTCATTCAAGAAGCAATTGAAGGCCCAGAATATTTTCAAGTGCAATCAATTACCGTAATTATTTTTTCAACAGTTCGAAATTGATTTAGACAGTTCGCAATTGATTTAGACAAATCGCAATTGACTTAGACAGTTCGCAATTGATTTAGACAGTTCGCAATTAATACAATTATAAATTCGTATATCTTGAATCCCCAGGCATGAAATCGCTATACGTTCACAAATTAACATTTAAAAAAGCTTATTTACGGCTTCGGTGGCGTTCCTTTCACGGTATATTCTCTCTCTTGCATTATTCCCTGCATTTTCACTACACCGACAAATTTTCTTTGCCCTATTTCAATTTAATTGTCATGAAGTTATCGGCATCAAAGAGAAAACGCAGAGAAAAGGAAATGTCTATAAGGAGAAAACTTGAAAGAGAAAAATGGATACATATCTTTTTATAATTGCGTAAGTGATCAGAACTTAGAATAGAAGACAATTTCATCATAATGTTGAAGCAATTAATGCAATTAGTGTATAAAGTTAATGCACAAAAAGAGGCGGAAAATGATGCAACGTAAAAATTTCCCCGAGCGAAATGAACCACAAGTGAGGAAATAAACTGCGTAAAAAAGTAAAAAGCAGCATAATAATTCGAACATTGAAACATTTTGAAGGAACTAGACCCTCCAAAAATATATGACTGCTTGTCTTCGAACTTTTTCCTTCGGAGTCGTTTTCTTTCACGACACATTATTTACGTGATGCATTTGTTCCTCAAACCATATTTTTCAACTCGTGGCTTTTTCTCCAATGCAGCATTTTCTTTTTCCCGAAGATTTCTCGAACATAGTGGCACCAACATAAACAATAAAAAAATGCAGTTTGGGCAAATATTAGTTGCCGATTCTACGAACAGAATAAATTACGACTTTCACTCCAACACCAAAAGGGAGAAACCACAAGAACAGCCTTGAAACTGGAAATCCCAACATCCCGCAAATGAAAATCTCTTCCCAGAAAGGTGAAAAGCATCGAAATCTCTGGTATTCGGCAAAGAAAAGACCTTGGCCATCGTAGGTCCTTTTGTTCGAGAATTTTCCACGCGACAAAAGGTCAGTTACGTAAGTACGTCTCGCAAAAATGCGGTTGATCTTGGGTCTTCCTTGAGGGGTGAAAGTTTTCTGTGGAAGGGGTTCAAGGGGGGTTCTTATCGATGGTATATAAGCCAGTTAATTATTCCGAATATGCATCAGTTACATCTTTCGTCTCGACTTCATCAGGTTGAATAGTAGCAGTCGTGAATTCTGGGCAGCTTCGGTGGAACGATTTTTGGATTCGTAGCACCAAGTGCTTTCCAGCTTTCAAGATTTTATTCTGTCTGTTAAAAAAAAATTACATTCCCGGGAAGGTGATTGTTGTTTGCTGTTTGCTGAATGCCCATTCCGACGCCAGTATGTAGAATGCGTCGGGTTTGTCATTTAGCTCACAGCTCCAACGCAATTTCTGCTCTTTTCGTTTATCCGCACGAGTTATTTCTTGTTACTTCACTGTTTACCGAAGGATTTCAATTCCGGTTGCCTGAGATGAATTTGTTTTCTCACAGGGAATTGAATTCCATTGGTCGACGGGAAATTCGTAAGGACAAGACCTGCTGAGGACTATCTTTGTGACGGCGTTGAAATTTGGGAATCATTGTTCAATTAGTTTCCCGAGTTTTGTTCGCCATTACGCAGATATTTCAGTCGACGGGGATGATACCTTTACTCAGGATGAACACATTTATTGTTCATGCACTTTTCTTGTTTGCTTCTGTTTGCCTCAGTTCCTCTACATCGGGAGCACACTTGACAATCGGGGATGAAGTGGGTTCCCTACTAAAGGTTGATGATCCTCGACGGATTGCGGCGCTGTTGTGGGAATTCGTCGAATTGAGTGCTTGTAGGTAAGCTCCTGATGTGAGTGCCAAAATGATCCTGGCTCCAGCAGAGAAGATGGACCTTTTGGTGAACAAGATCCCCGATGAGGCTGAAGCCCACAACGAGCTCGCTGCCGTGAGGGAATTGAACAAAATGATTGCGACCAGACAGGATCTCCCTTGGACCTTGTCGAACTCGAAGGTTCGCATCCCTTGGTGCAGGCCATAAGCGAGACCTGAGAAAATCATGTAGTGTCGTGAACCTCGTAATTGAAATTCATTGTCGTAACTGTACAATTCTAGAACACTGAAGGTTTGAAATTTCTTTCGCAACACTTCATTCTAGGGTAAAGTGTATTTCCAGGGTTACAATTCCCTTCAAAAGTTTCCTAGTTAATAAAAGCAAGATCAGATCAGTTCAAGTAATTCTATGTGTTTTGAGTGAAGACCTGCGATTGGAGTCATGGGCACTGATCTTGAAATGCGATATGCCCTTGCATAGTTATGGGCATATCGCATTTCAAGATCAGTGCCCATGACTCCAATCGCAGGTCTTCACTCAAAACACATAGAATTACTTTTATAATTCACCTTTTAAAAATTTCTCAACGCATAAAACCGAATAAATTGAGATTGTGGTTGCTGAGAATATTGTAGCAGATCATGATGCTGAAAATCTGCCAATTCCGAGGTTAATATTTTGCGAAGAATTTGTAGGGCACAAATGATGTCATCTGACATTACAGTCTAAGATGAACCTGCTGTACAAATCCTTTGGGATCTTCCATTTTTATTGTTTTTTTAAAGAACAGTGAAATGTTGAGAGCATTTTCTCCCATGAAATGTCTTCCCTTTCCGAATGCGGACCTGAGAAAAGCAGGTCCACTGAATTACAGTCGTATTTGTTTATGAATGGATTTTTTCTTTAGATTTTACTGTCTTCGAGTAAAGTATACCGTCTCATCACAACAGTCCATCGCGATGAACCGATGTGTTGATTCACGTGTTTTCGTAAATTTTAAATAGCGCTCCATACCGTAAAAGATAAAATAGCGAAAATTGAACCTTACATGTCATGGCAACGCCAGCGAGGCGCAGTGAGGAAGAGCACCCGGTGCAACCTTCAGCCACGACAGCAGCCCCTGGGAATAAACCGTATTCGGCTGCTTTTTGCGGTATGAAAACAAATAGCAATCCTTGCACAAATATTGCAGCGACCTGCGCTTGAGTCGCTGGCCAAAATCCTCGCGGGAATTTCAAGAACAGGTGCTCGTTGTGTCCGAGAAGCTGGGATATCTGCAAATAAATAAATAAATATTACCGATAACCGAATTTCTTTATAGTTCTCTTTTACATTTCAAATAAAATCGGCATGTCGTAATTTCCGAATTGCGGAATCCGTCCCTCGGATGATTTCGACTTCATGTTTTATAAAACCTCGGTTTATACTACTTTAACTCGTTTCTAATAGGTTTATTTCTCTTTTTGAGCCTCTGTTCTTTACTAATACTTGATTCGCTGAGTTTTGAAATGTAATTTCTCAAAATATCCTAAACTAACTCATTTCATTGAGGGAATGGATGGAATAAATGATCAAATCTCAGTGAGATTTTTGAGGAACGAATTTTGAATAATGCAGTCGTCGTCAACCTATTTTTCCACCAAATTTACAATATTAGTTGATTTTGACGAAAAAACATGATCGATATTTTACCTTGGAGCGATGAATCTCTCCGTCGTCTGTCTCTCCAACTCCAAGCAGCTTTCTCGTCTTAAGCCGACTGTGTAAGTCCCCGCTGCTGTGTTTCCTATATTGGCAGAAGGAAAGGGAACAAAACATTACATTGATTGCTATCCCATGATGTCTCGGGTGTGTGACCATGGATTCGTGACCCATTCGACACAGGGTTCCTATAGACTGAGAAGGAGGAACCCCCTGCGTGCGTAACGCGTTCGACCCCCTGCGAAACCAGCCGCGTATAATCTTGCGGAATGACGACGATATAGAATAAGTTTGCCGTCACGGTCATCGTTATACCGTTCAGTTTCAGATCATTTCCCAAATCGAGGCCACATTTTCATTCCAAACTCACAACGCCGCCTGGTTTTCGAATTACTGTAAACACTATACAGTATTAGTATTGTAAATGGAGGAGGAGTATTGTGATGCAAAAATGCAAGGGCATATCGCATTTCAACGCGAACTTCGCGGCAAGTTTTACAATTAAACCCATTTCAGATGTTTCTAAACTGGAAAAAGGCAGCGCAGGTTTTCTGCGTGTGTAATTTCCCCCCATTCAAGTACAGTACAGGCGACTTCTCTCGAAAATGATACTATCCGTAAAATTATTTTTTTGTGATCTGATCCAGGGCCGGCCCAAGCCTTCATGGCGCCCGTGTGCAAACCCTCACATGGCGCCCCTATACATGAGAAACTCCAATCAGACAATATATACAGTATAAATTTTTCCATGCTAAATATTTGGTTAGAAATGAAGATATGGATTTTGATTATATACAAATGTTTTTCATCTTTGTACATTTCATGACAAACAAGCATATTCAATGGTTAAAAAAAGGTTCAATACAAATGAAGCATCACATCCATAAAAAAAAACCAACACCAAGATAAAGGTTTTAAAAAACATCTCATTTGTCTAGAATAACACTTTCCTGGCTTTTGCACTAGCAAACCTTGCAATGATATCATTTGTGTCTAGTTCTTCAAGTTCATCATGCTCAATTGAAATCATTGACAAATTTGACAATCGTCCCTGGCTCATTGTTGATCTCAAGTAATTTTTTATGATTTTCAATTTTGAAAAACTTCTTTCAGAAGATGCAACAGTTACAGGGAGAGTCAAGAAAATTCTGATAGAAATAGCAGTGTTAGGAAATGAATCAATAAGATTATTATTGTAAATGAAATTCAGTACTTCTTTTGCTGACATTTTCTTCTCCAAAAAACATTTCAATGTTTTCAGCTCTTCAAAAAGGGATTGGCCATCTATGTCATCAATTAACTTTTCCTCAATTCTTTTGCAATCTCTAAGGATTTCTTCATCTGTCCAATCAGACAGCAGATTTATCTGAGATAACACTTTGAAAGTGATATTGTAATTTTCCAACAGTTGAAACCTTTCCTTGATTGACATCAGTGCAGAATCAATAATCATTAGAAAGAAAGATGTTTTGAATCTTGTCTTAGCATCTGTAACACAATTGTCTTTTGACTCATAGTCAAAAAATCTTTTCTTTTTTGGAATTCTCAAATTGTCATCAAATGATGATTCAATGTCCAATTCTTCAGCTCTTAGAGTTGCAGTATGAATGATTGCATCAAAGGATTTGTCTGACCTGAATTCAGTCAAATATTCTTCCAGTTTTTTCAAATTTGCAAGAGCTTCAAACAAGTTGATGTCCTGACTTTGAAACATTTTGCTGACAGCATTAATTTTACTTAGGATATCATGCCACACAAAGAGGGAGCACAGAAATTTGAAACTTGCTAATTTGGATATCAGTGAGTTAGCCTGAAATCTTGTATCCATATCTTTGGAGGGATCAGCTGATAAATCTTGAAGAGCTGTCAAAATTTCTTTGACTTGGGCTTTCAAAGGTCTAATAGCATCAATCCTACTTTCCCATCTTGTATTTGACAATGGCTTCAAAGTTAAATTTTTCAAATTTTTTTCAAGAATATTCCACCGTTTTGTCGATGATGAAAAAAAATTGTAGAACTCTTGGACAGTACTAAAAAAATTAACAGTTTCAAAAGAAATCTTAGCAGCATCATTGACAACCAAGTTGAGACTATGGGCCAAACATGGAACATAAAAAGCTCTTGCATTTGTTTCAATTATTTTCTGTTGAAGCCCATTATATTTTCCTTTCATGTTTGCTGCATTATCATACCCCTGACCTCGAAGATTACCAATGTCCAAGTTTAGCTTGTCAAGGTGGCTTGATACAAATTTGTATAAGCCTTGTCCAGTTGTATCCTCAACTTCACAGAATCCAAGAAAATGTTCTTGTATTTCATTTGCATTCTTTTCTGCATCATAATGCACAAAACGAATTATTACTGACAACTGATCAATGTGACTTACATCAGGGGTTGTATCTAACAGTATTGAAAAATATTTTGCTCTTTTGATCTTCTTCATTAAATTTTCTTGGATAGCATTTGCTAAGAGATCAACAATTTCATTTTGTATCCTGTGGCCTAAATGATGAACCATTTTTGTTTCAGACTTTTGAGCTCGACGAAGGTGCTCTGCCATCACTGGGTCAAATTTTGCAAATGTCTCTATCAATTTTAAAAAATTGCCATTGCTGTGTTGAAATAATTTTTCAGTTGATCCCCGAAATGCCAGATTTTGCTGAGACAGAAACTTGATTGCATGAATAATGCGCTCTATGACTGATCGCCAATAGGCTTTCTCTGTTTCATACATTTGCTGCTGACAAGAATCTATTGTTTTGTGCTTCTGAAAATCTTTTTGTAATTGAGCAAAATTACTTCTACTCTGAATATGTGAATTAGTTCTCTCATGTCTGCTTAAAATTTGAGATAGATGCTGCCAGTCACCACATCCTGCTCTACTGCTCAGGGGCAACTTACAATCAGTGAACAGTCTGCAATGCAAGCAGAACACAGTATCTTTTGCTATAGAATACAAAAGCCATTTCCGCAAAACTTTCTCCCCATTTGGCAGTAAACTATAATAATAAGAAGGAGAAAATTTTCTAAGACATTTATCCCGAGGAAAATTCCACTCAAAAATCTGCCTTGGAGTATTTTCAACTAGGTAATCACACTGCTTTGTGTTCAACTTTTCAGGCCATCTACCAGGATCTTCTAGCTCTGTAATGTTCACATTTTGACCTGTAAGACATTCATTTTCCATTTCAACATTTTCAACCAGTATGTGTACATTATTGTCATTCACTTCACTCTCTTCAATCAACAAATCTTCAGGTCCTGTAACACTACTTTCAGGTTCCTTCTCATCTGGCAAAACTCCTTCTTGGGAAGAAATGTAGGTCTTACTGCAATCTCCTTTTCTCTCCAGAAATTTGTTCAATGAACCAGATAATTTTTGGCATAAAATGCCATGAGCAGCTTTTCTTTTTCGATTTTGTGCACCAGAAGCTTTCTTTGATATATTTTCAGCCATCTGAAATGCACAAAGTAACAATATAAAATTTTAATATGAATACCCTTCAAACTGAGCTCTATAAAAAAACTAACCTGGGATTTGAAAATGATGTTTGCTTATTGCTCAGGAATACAATTCCACAACACAGAGAATCAAAGAAGACAAATTTCTATAGGGATATAAATTTGAGAGGAAATGAAAAAGGAAAAATTCAATCAGCCCAAGACAAGGCTTGAATTCCCTGTGGGATTTTTGTTCAAGCGTTTTATAATTTATTTGTTTCAAAATAAAAAGCTAAATTTTTCCACAGCTCAACAATAGACACAAAAGTTTTTGCACCCCAAAAGAAATCTTCATAAAGTTCACTGCACTACACACCCATTGAAGCTCTGAAGAAGACTGATGTACTATGTGGATGAAAGGTTTTTTTCACTCTTTCCTTGATTCCTTGGGATAGTTGGGACACAGTGGTTCGATTTTTCAGGCCTGGGATTGGCCATAATTCACCGTCAGCTTCTGCAACGTCGGACTTGTCCTTCGTAGTTTTGACTCCTCCCCCTCCCTTGAGTGGCCTAAACTTCAGGATTTACGAAGGACAAATAACGATAAATGAAAACAGGCAACGGAGGTTCGAGTAAATAATTTCGCTGGCATGATGAGGCGCCTGGCGCCTCATTGCCTGGCGCCTCATCATGCAGGCACCCCCTCCTAACCGCCTGGGTCAGGGTTGATTTTTGAGTCAACTCTGGCACTGATTTTTGCGCCCCCCCTAGCCAGGCGCCCGTGTGCAGTGAACCCGCTGCACCCGCCTTAGGCCGGCCCTGATTCTTCTGAGTAGGGATACTGTTCGTTTCAAACACAATTCTAAGGATGATGTAGTACTGTACTTTTTGTAAATTTTTGTCGATCATTTAAATACAAAGAAATATTTATTCTGCGATACGTGACGTTCCAACTTATATCGTTGTATACTTCTACTGTATTATCATTTATTCCATTTATAATAAGCAACCTTTTACGCCTGAAGACAGTTTTTAGCGCTTTTTTCCGTATTTCAAAAAATAGCCTCGAGAACCCTTTCCTATAGTTTCCACGTCACGACATCAAAAGAAAATAAAAAAAATTGTCATATCCAGTGATAAAAGATGAGCCTGTACTCGATGTCATTCTTCCGCATGAAAATATCCGTTTTTTCAGGCCGTCATCGTCCCGCACGAACTTCCTTCCCATGATAAATGTAGCCTTTTTATTATTTCCACATTATATGCACCACAAAATGTTCAAATCGTTTCTTGGCACTGTAGTTGTATTTTGTCGTATCTCTAGTAACGTTTACAGTGCTTAGTTGAAATGTCTAAGAACCCAGTGAGCAAGAAGTTGTCCGGTTACATCCAAAAATCCTCCAAAATGGATCCAATTCTGATCCAAAACCCTTCCAAAAGCAGTCCAAATTTTTTTGCCTAAGTCGGACTGCAGCGGACTACAGGTTTAGACAAAATTTTGGATCAGATTTGGATCCATTTTGGAGGATTTTCTGACAAGTTTTGGAGCAATTTTGGAGGGACTTGGGATCATTTTGGAGACACATTGGATTATTATTAAGTGGCAGTCGAAGACGTTGCAGCCTGAACAGGAAGCATCAAAACTGAGGAGGGGGAGGGAACTCACCGGATTTGAAGTCCTAAATGCTTCCTGTTTATTGCTATTTACTTTTGTCCGTTGCAAGGTTCGAGTAAATAATTTCGCTTAAATAATTTCGCTGGCATGATGAGGCGCCTGGCGCCTCATCGCCTGGCGCCTCATCATGCAGTCACCCCCTCCTAACCGCCTGGGTCAGGGTTGATTTTTGAGTCAACTCTGGCACTGATTTTTGCGCCCCCCCTAGCCAGGCGCCCGTGTGCAGTGAACCCGCTGCACCCCCCTTAGGCCGGCCCTGATCTGATCAAGAGTTTCTCCCCATGTTGCAGAAATTTCACCAAGGTTCAATGTTTTTATAGTGCTTTGAAGTAACGGAGTTTGAGGGCAAATTCAGGATTTCATCCAATATGTGCGAACACGTTTTTCATGTATATTGACTTATACTGTGAAAATAAGGGATCAACGGGTATCCAATGCAGTGTAAGCATTACATCAGCGTAGAAAAAAATTTGAATATTTGTTGCAGTTTTGAGTACATGCAGCATTTGCGAACTTCATGTCAGATTCAGAGCTCAGGAAATGTCGAGAAGTCATTGAATTTCGACGGGTTATCCCGGTTGGAAATATGAGGGGTCTGATAAAATAAAAAAAGGACACTTGGCTTCCATCAGGGCATTTAATGCTACTGATGTAATTCGATTACACTGCTATAATCGAACAACTAAAAGTGATATTTCTCGTCAAAAATTTCACCAAAACTCGTGGCTGTCAATTTTTGCCCTAGAAATCGTGTTGGCCAAAAAACTGTTGGCCTGAAGTGCTACGATTGACGGTGAATCCCGACTATAATTCTTGAAGGTCCGGAAATTCATGACGTACTGGTCCTGCAAGTTTTCTTAGTGTCACGCAAACTTTTTTTTAAAGTAATTGCTTTCGCAGCTGTCAGCTGAGGCCACCTCGTGTACACTGTAGAGTATAGACTATATGTGAGATTAGTTTTCGTCCTGCAAACTCAGTTTTTGCCCGAATTTTCACACAAAAGCGTTCACAGTCATTATTCCCATGAACAAAAGTTCGCTTTTCTTTCCGTTCTGTACATTTTCGCCGAAGCATGTTGACCCAGCTTATGTTTAATTTCATGATATCTTTCTTCCTCACGCATGCAAAATGATCAAGTTCGCGGAACTTCGTGATAAGGATAATTGAATCGTTGCAACGAATACTCATTTTCATTTATGCAATTATTTGTTGCTGCTAGGATTTTTTGTTTTAGCTAGCTCAAAAACTTGAATTTTCGATCGCAAATTTATTCTGATGTACTTCTCCAATCTTGAAACAAAGAAAGGAAAGAAGTGCTGGGTCTTTCTGAGAAATAATTTCTACAAAAACATGAAAAGAATTATAGAAAATTTGAAGGAGAAGGAGACGTGGCACTCGTCATCATCAGTCAGGTAGCCAACGTGTCTGCGTTTATAGAGGATTGCAGTTTAAGTTCAAAATTTATTTCTGTAACTTGGTAATGAGCAACAACTGAGGTTTCAGAAACAAGATCAAAACGCTTATGAAAATAATTTCCAAAAAAAAACTGAATGTAATGGAACATCGTGAAAATCATGACACAATAAAAGACAATTTTCTCTAAATAACTTGATAAGGTTGCAAAATTTGAGGTTGAATTCTTGGATCGGATGAGACTTTCGTATTCATTATCCTATTTTTGATTGGGCTTGACTGATATGTGCCGGAATTTTCCTCGATCATTTCTGAACCACCTAATTTTTACTGAGTTTTAGAGGTATTCCATGCTTTACGGCTCATTGACGTGGATTATTTATATATTCCTAACTTTGTGTGTTTTTATTTTTTTGCTGGGTTTCTGGGGCATGTATCATGTGATATACTTGGAATCATTATTTTTTTTCAAGTGACTGAGTCTTAAGGACGGACAATTTTTATAAATTTCTCCAAAATTTGCACGTTTTTATTGCTTTGAAGTAACGGCGTCCGAGGGCAACTCACAGGATTCCATTCAATATGAGCGAAAAAGTTTTTCAAGAGCATGATGGAATGCTGGGATTGATAAGAAAGTTGTGAGCGTTTAGAAATGGAATTCTCTGGGAACTAAAAAATTCTCTATTAGTCAGCAATGCTGTTTATCATCGTGGGATCAATGAAAACTTCGGAAGCGAGCATTTGCTCATTCCGTACATAGATTCTGTTTAATTGCATCTTTGATTAATATTATCTCCTCAATTGCAATTTTACGCTAACTTTCTCCTTCCATCAAACTCACACGTAATTGCTGAGATCTGGATTAGAATAGAGTTTTCAGATCTGGGTAATTTAAACTAATTTTTTATCAGTGAATAAAAAGATTTGAAAGGAGTTTGACTGCTTAAATTTGACTTTATGAGACCTACGAACTTGTCAAGTACCGATTTAAATTTCCTTAGAAATATTTACAGTAATGTATTCTAACGCTTCGTTTTCCATTTCAACCTGGGTTTGTGCAAAAACTGGAATAGTGTCCAAACGCAAAATAAACAAACAATTTTGGAATTAGCTCATCATGCAGAACATCCAATTCCAACTCGCAGCTAGCTAAGATAGGACAACAAAAGTAGAAAAAATTATGAACCAATTAATTTATTAGAATACCGGCGTCCTGGAAACTCAAGACGATTGCGTTGAAATATATACGAAGTGAAAAAATCTCGAACGTTGACCAGACAAATATTTGGGCTTTCCATGAAATCGAAAGCTTCGGAATGCACCAAAATATTGGCTGATGACAAGTTCATGATGGGAACTGCCACCGACGACTCAATTCGAGTGCAATGCACCGACCCGAGCGAATTTTCCGTACTTCACATTCTTGGAATAAGCTCAACATATGAGGAAAGAAATTCGTAAGAAGTCTCAGAGGAGTGATTGTTGATTCATGAAATGCACAAGAAGATTTCCCCCCATCCCACGAAATGTGGAAAAATCCGAGAAATTCGATCCAACGGCGTGAAAAGCGAACATTCTCGTCATCCCTGGATTTTTCTTCTTCTTCTTCCTTTCTTCTCACTCAATGTACACACAGGTTGAAAAAGCATGGTCTTCAGACGGATGCTTTCGCAGCGTAATCGAATAAAGCACACACGCGCATGTCGTCGTTTCTATGCCAAAATATCATTACTTTTGTTGTTGTTGCACAAGTATACTGCACATAACCCATTCGCGCTGTCGCTTGAGCAGCAGGCGCGTTATTTTCTACCTGAACAGGCAAAGGCGATCCCAAAGAGATTTTCTTCGCCCACAGATGGGCTTTTCGGTCGGGGTCTCTGCTGGTCCGAACCCAACACTGCTGCTGGGTTCTTCATCCTCCGTCGCCTTGTTCACCTCGGATCCTTCGGGATGATCCATCACACTGTATTTTCCCTCTGCCCCGCGGGGAGCAGGATTTCGATCTTATCTCTCTCACTGGGTAAAATATGGAATACCGTACACTGTATCTGACTACACAGAAGCCACTGAATCGTATGAATTTCTTCCTTGCCTGCGTGTGGCCGGATATTTGATTAGATGGGCCTTGCTGGGTAAATAACGACCGGGAACACACACGATTCCGGGATTATTTTTCCGTTTCGCTCGATCATCTAATCCGAAATTTTTTTCTAATTTATTAGGAATGATTGAATACTTAGCCTTATATACACGCACGCGAAGAAAATCTCTGGGAGCGTTTCAAAATATATTTCGTCAAGTATTTTGCAAGTGTAAATGACTCAATGCGAGAACTTTTCAGTTATGTTTCAATTTTCACAGGGGCTGGCTGAGTTTAGCAATAACTACGCATTTTTCTTGTGTTGATCCTAGATCATTTAGGCAGTTGAGATAATTTGAGAACATTCCGAGACGATCTTTGTCATAGAGACAAATTAACAGTGAAAAAATGAATTAGTGGTTTTCCAGACCACTAAATCATTATGAAGATAAGTAAAGAATATTCTGAAATTTGTCTTCAAAGGGAATCCTAAACTTCTGTTTAAAACTACCCTATTTATATTTGCATTAACTGTATTCTTAAATTTTTATCGAGAAGTACAAAAGCTTGCATCCGTAAATCATGCGTGCATCATATTATTGGGTTATCGTAAATAATTGAAAATTTTTCTGCGTTAAAAAAATATTGGTCATCATTTTTCGTTATGCTCATGTGCTGAAGGTGCAGATATCCAAAAATTGCAAGATATCACTGCTGGTATCAGGCATGTTTTATTTTTGCCAGCAAACATAATGTTTTGGTGCTCACATTGACTTTTCTTATAAAAATAAATGATTGAAATCAGAAAAGGTTCACGTACTTCTCAGTAAGATTATGCGGAAATGGGAGAGAATAAATCATTTAGATAATTTATATATTAATCTTTCTTCATCTGTAGTTTCCAAACAAGGAAACCCACTGTTGGAAAAAAGGAGCGAAACATCAAGCGAAACTGAAATATAATTTGAAACAACGGGAAATTTGCTGCCGAGCTGGCAGAGTTTAAATCACATTTGAAGACACGATTTCATCCTTGAAAATCCTTTCGAGGAAAGCTCTTCCATTCTTCATCTTGGGGATAATTTCATCATTTGCACGCTGGTAGTACCGTAAAAAAAATGTTCCCCATTCAAACTTGAAGCTTTAATTTCACTATTTTTCTTCTGCAAGTTCTCGAAAACTGGTCCACATTTTCGTTCATTCAGAATATTCAAAATTCATTTATTTTGGCCAATAACAACTACCTCGGGGCTCCAAGATATGGACGTATTTGGTGCTTGTACCTACTGTCCCTATATTTCAAAGCCTCCGAGACAACGTAGCATTAAAGGATATATAATATGAAGTTACTATTGAATAAGTTAACCAAGAGGACGATTTTTTTCCTTACCTCAGGGAGCTTTTAATTCTTTAAAAAAAGAGTAAGTTCTGGGTCTTTATTCCTGTGCAAAAGAACACCACAGATAACCTGATCTGCTGGAATCAGAGGGAGCCTGGAAGCAAAGAACACGAGCAAGTCTAGCTATACTGTGTACACATAATTTTAAAAAATACTCTAAAAAAGAAGAAATAATTTGCCTGTTTTTGTCTATAATAATTAGATTAAATTATTAAATAATGTTCAATTTTCTTTGATATGAATAGCTCAGATTGTTGAATAGAAATCAAAATTTAGAAGAAACAATTTTTTAATTTCTCAAGAAATGTTGGAACACTGTCCGTATCTCAAAATATTTTCCAGATTTCGGGCAGATTCTTTTGCGTCTCGAAGTGTCCCTAAGTCAAATGGTCCGTATGTTGTTGGGGTCCCACTGTAGTTTCGTCGATAACTGAAAATCTCTTATGAGATAGATCTCTTGAAAAGAAAAGAAAACAAAAGGCCTCGGGGAACTGAGAGGAAAGAATGAGCTGACTCCAGAAGCGTCGCGATGTCATGAGAAAGATGGCGTTGCAACCCCGGAAGATCCCGAGGCATTGGCTTTGGGTCTCGTCTATCTATGCTCTTTTCACCACCACGACGACGCGGTTTCGACAGACTCTAGAGAGAAGAAGAATGCACTTTCCATCCTAAAGAAAAGCTTCTAGGGATTATGCTCCGATGCGCTGCAATCCGTCTTATTACTATACGATATCACATTCTCCACGTTTGCCTGCATCATGCTGCGAGTATGTAGCGACGACGATAATTCCCTTCCGCTGTAATTTAAAATATTTGATCTTTCCATTGACTTGAGAGAGTTCACAAAGTGTGATCTCAGTGAGTAAGGCTAAACAGGGGTTTACCCTTTATAGGATAACAGTACATAGATTCTGTTTAATTGCATCTTTGATTAATATTATCTCCTCAATTGCAATTTTACGCTAACTTTCTCCTTCCATCAAACTCACACGTAATTGCTGAGATCTGGATTAGACTAGAGTTTTCAGATCTGGGTAATTTAAACTAATTCGTTATCAGTTAATAAAAATATTTGAAAGCACTTCGACATGCTTAATTTTGACTTCATGAGACCTACGAATTTCCCAAGTGCCGATTTAAATTTCCTTAGAAATGTTTACAGTAATGCATTCTAACGCTTCGTTTTCCATTTCAACCTGGGTTTGTGCAAAAACTGGAATAGCAGCCAAACGCAAAACAAACAAACGATTTTGGAATTAGCTCATCGTACAAAACATCCAATTTGAACTCTAGCTAAGATAGGACTGCAAAATTTGAAAAAAACATGAAACAATTAATGTATTAGAATCCCGGCGTCCTGGGAACTCAAGACGATTGCGTTGAAATATTTACGAAGTTAAAAAACCTCGAACGTCGTTGACCAGACAAATATTTGGGCTTTCCATGAAATCGAAAGCTTCGGAATGCACCAAAATATTGGCTGATGACAAGTTCATCATGGGAACCCCCACCGACGACTCAATTCGAGTGCAATGCACCGACCCGAGCGAATTTTCCGTACTTCTTATTTATGGAATAAGCTCAACATATGAGGAAAGAAATTCGTAAGAAGACTCAGAGGAGTGATTGTTGATTCATGAAATGCACAAGAAGATTTCCCCCCATCCCACGAAATGTGGAAAAATCCGAGAAATTCGATCCAACGGCGTGAAAAGCGAACATTCTCGTCATCCCTGGATTTTTCTTCTTCTTCTTCCTTTCTTCTCACTCAATGTACACACAGGTTGAAAAAGCATGGTCTTCAGACGGATGCTTTCGCAGCGTAATCGAATAAAGCACACACGCGCATGTCGTCGTTTCTATGCCAAAATATCATTACTTTTGTTGTTGTTGCACAAGTATACTGCACATAACCCATTCGCGCTGTCGCTTGAGCAGCAGGCGCGTTATTTTCTACCTGAACAGGCAAAGGCGATCCCAAAGAGATTTTCTTCGCCCACAGATGGGCTTTTCGGTCGGGGTCTCTGCTGGTCCGAACCCAACACTGCTGCTGGGTTCTTCATCCTCCGTCGCCTTGTTCACCTCGGATCCTTCGGGATGATCCATCACACTGTATTTTCCCTCTGCCCCGCGGGGAGCAGGATTTCGATCTTATCTCTCTCACTGGGTAAAATATGGAATACCGTACACTGTATCTGACTGCACAGAAGCCACTGAATCGTATGAATTTCTTCCTTGCCTGCATGTGGCCGGATATTTGATTAGATGGGCCTTGCTGGGTAAATAACGATTGGGAACACACACGATTCCGGGATTATTTTTCCATTTCGCTCGATCATCTAATCCGAAAATTTTTTCTAATTTATTAGGAATGATTGAATACTTAGCCTTATATACACGCACGCGAAGAAAATCTCTGGAAGCGTTTCAAAATATATTTCTTGTTAAGTATTCTACAAGTGTAAATGACTCAATGCGAGAACTTTACGCTTATGTTTCAATTTTCACACGGGGCTGGCCGAGTTTAGCAAAAACTATGCATTTTTCTTTTTTTTTATCCGCCTAGATCATTAATTTAGGCGGTTGAGATAATTAGAGAACATTCCGAGACGATCTTTGTCATAGAGACAAATTAACAGTGAAAAAATGAATTACAGTAGTGGTTTTCCAGACCACTAAATCATTATGAAGATAAGTAAAGAATATTCTGAAATTTGTCTTCAAAGGGAATCCTAAAGTTCTGTTTAAAATTACCCTGTTTATATTTGCATTAACTGTATTCTTAAATTTTTATCGAGAAGTACAAAAGCTTGCATCCGTAAATCATGCGTGCATCATATTATTGGGTTATCGTAAATAATTGAAAGATTTTCTGCGTTAAAAAAATATTGGACATCATTTTTTGTCATGCTCATGTGCTGAAGGTGCAGATATCCAAAAATTGTGTTGTCCGTAAACCGAGGTATAAATAAATGCTCAAGTTCAATAAGAATATGTGTTTCAAATATATTCAATCCACAAATATTCGTACAATCTCACAAACACAAAAATAGAGAGCTTTTTAAGAGAGTCTTGCTAAAACGTTCT